AATTAGTTTACATTCTGTGACTGTTTAATCTTATGAAAACTCTTGAGATCTGAAGTCAGTATATATTGTATTACTCAGTAAAACAGTGCAGAGTCTTATACTACAGGCTTATAATTCCACATGCTGATGATAGTAACACCTTAACATTTTTTAGCAGTTCATTAGATTACTACAAAAGAGTACTAGTTTCATAAATCATGAATTACCTCATAAAATTTTTTCGTGGTAAAATACATATTACAGGTTTGCAATTCTAACCATTTTTTTTGTAAAGTTTTAATTGTGAATTATGTGTTAATTTACATGGGTGAACATTATCTTTACATTCATCCTACCGTATTTTGTTTCATTGCAATGATCACAATCCCCTGAATGCACCATCAAACCAAAGGGTACACCCCACACGCCTGCCCCCCAGCTGCCAGCCCACAGCTCCTCTCCTTCCCTGAGTCCAGAGTCCCCAGCCTCTCCTTCTGTCCATGACAGAAGTTTACAAGACCAACAAGTTATTCATTACAAGTAGCTTTTTTTTTTTAATGTTTTATTATTAATTATGTGATAGTTTACATGGGAGGACATTAGCTTTACATTCATCCTTTGATGTATATCATTTCATTGCCATGGGTACAATCCCCTCCATGCATCATCAATCAACCAAAGGGTGTATCCTGCAAGTCTGCTCCCCCCCACACCCACCCACCCCCGGGTCATCAGCACACAGCCCCTCTTCCTCTCTGGGTCTAGAGTCCCCAGCCACTCCATTTCTCCACGTCATCATCTCTGCATCCATCTCTGGTATCACTGCTTCTCTGGGTAGGGTCCCGCACTCCACTCTTTTCCCTTGATGGTTCCAGGAACTCCCCTCTTGGATTGCAAAGTCAACCATTCCCCTCCTTTTGCTACAAAATGTCTACTTGTACATTTCCAACCCTCACAGTCAGTCCTGATAACAATTATTCACTATTGTACCACAAGAGTCCTATCCCCATCTCCTTTCATCAGCCCCATCCAGGCAGATTGGATACTACTCAGTGGAGATTCTACCTTCCTCCATGTCCTCTGGATCTAGGCTCCCTCTTGAAAGCTTGTAAGCCAGTCACTTCTTGCCTTTGTAGCCCCCCCATTTTTGGTAGCCAATGTCCAAGTTGCCCATCCCTGTCTATTCTGTATAAGGAAGGGGTGAGAATGATCCTCGCTGTAAAGATTTGTTCCCTCTTTTGAGCTACTACATGTATAGGTGTGGGTCAAGTTCATCAGATTGTATCAGATTACTTTTTTTTTTCCTTTTCTTTCTTCTTCTAGTTGAGCTTTGATCATCCAGTCATTGAAGCCAGGTCAAGTGGGTATTATCTGCAAGTGTGGGTGTTCTTGTGCATATACCCTCTCTTCTTATCAGCTAGAGGCTTCACTCTCTACTCTAGTCCTCTGTGGTTATGTCACTAACTCTGGGCCCAATTGTCCCCAGGTCTTGCCACACTTCTGGCCAACCAGGTCTCCACCTGGGTTCACAGGAGTCTATTGAACATTGTAGGACTTAGCTCACCGCTTCATTGCTGTTTTTCCCTCACTTCCCCTTATCAGTGACGAACGTGGTCACCAATCAGAGTGCATGTCTGCTTGTATAGTCCCAGTGAGTTTTAGTCTTGGAAGGGGGTTTGCCCTGAGGGAACCTGACCATTTGCCTTGATGTCTCCTGGGCAAGCAACTTGCTTGTTCTTGTAGTAATCAGTTGGATTGCTGTTATTGTTTTGTATTTTTCCTTTCAATAAGTGTCTTCTGTTCTTCTAGCCACTCCAGGCTGGTCTGCTTGTCCTTTCAAGTAAAAATTTCCCACCTCAGAAGATTCTGGATGTGGTTCAGGATTCCACCTTTGGTCTTATGTAATGCAGAGGCTCCACAGGAAGCCTCCTTCACTGAGCAGTTGTAGTCCCATTTTAGGTAGTCCAATCAGTTATAGGCAGAAGACAGATTTACAAGCTTCCTATGGTGATGTTTCCCACTATTTCTTATCTCCCCAACAAGTGTCTATTTTATAATGGCATGCCAGGGAAACCAAGATTCAAAAGACAGCCAAGCATCTTAACACAAATAGCTTTTTTTTAACAACATAAAAAATGATTGTACACATGGACCTAACCAGATGGGATACACAGGAATTAATAAAAATTAAATTGACCACATCTGTGGGAAAAGACAGTAGAGAAGCTAAATATTATCAGCCAAGACAAGGCCATGGGCAAGCTGGAACAGACCATCAATTGCTCATATAAAAGTTTCAGCTTAAGTTAAAGACAATGAAAAGGATTCCACGAGCCAAAAATGACCCTGAATATATCCCATCTGAATTTAGAAACTATTTCAAGGTCAGAGTTTATGTATTAGACACTAATGATAGAGGATGAGAAGAGTTATGAGATGACTTCAAGAATATCATACAGGAAGAAAGCAAAAGGTAATTAAAAATAAGGAAGACAATGGTTTGATAATCAGACTAGAGGAAGATTAAAAAAATATATTTTTTTTGATAAAGGTAACGAGGGTAAATTGCTACAATTTGATGAACTTGACCTATATTCATAGAGGCTGTTGTTGTTAAGTGCTGTCAAGTGGATTCCTATAGCGACCCCTGTACACGGTTTCCAAGGCTGTAAATCTTTACAGGAGCAGAAAGCCTCATCTTTCTTCCCCCGGCAGTAGCTCAAAATACTAACAGAGAGGGAAGGAATCTTCACATCAAGGATCAATGCAGTCCCCTCTGTAGATAGGGGCGGGCAGCTTAGACACTGAGGTGCAACCAATGTAAAGAAAACCAACCGAATAGTACAGCAGAAAAAAAACTCTAGAAATAAACTTCTGTTAAGATTGTTGTTTTTGTTATTGTTGTTGTTATGTGTCGTTGAATCGGTTCCGACTCATAGACACCCTATATGGGGTTTTCCAAGAGCAGCTAATGGGTTTTAACTGTCGACCTTGTGGTTCACAGTCCAGTGCTGATCCTACAGTGCCACACTGGGAGTCCTCTGTTAATTTAAATTTTAACATTTAAAAATGTGACTCACCCCAGAAATGGAGTTGAGAGTAGAAGAGGGAAAGAAAAAAGAAACTATTGAGGGAGGCACTGAGGGGAAATGAAAAAGAGTAATGCTCAATTTATAGATAGTGAAGAGTGGTTTTTACCCCATCGCAGGTTCCAAAGTTTATTTTCCTTTCAAAACATCACTGCTCAAGGGAAACTCCGAGGAAGAGGTGGGAGAGGAATAGGTTAGGACTGGATAGGTTCTAGTTGCAATGGATGGAGGAATAAAGAGGTAGTTATTTGGAAGCTGGAGGCAAGGCAGCATGTGGGTAGACCTGGAAGGATGAACACTTAAAGATTGGGCCAATACCAATGTGGGGAAGAGGGAGGGTTTTGTAGGCTAAGGAAGTAACCAGAGCAACTAACTGCTCTCCCAACTCTTTGAGTTGGAGTCCATCGAAGTTGAAAACCAGATGTACTGTAAGTTCCCCGTCGTCACGCTACCATCACCATTTGGGGGCTTTTCAGTGTGTTCTTCAGTTTCATCATTAAAAAAAAAACCCCACCCTGCTATGGTGCTGTAGGTTAATGCGCCAGACTGCAAAGCTGTTTGAACTGCAAGGTCAGCGGCTCAAGCTCACCAGCTGCTTCTCGGAAACCCTATACAGGGTCGCTAGGGTTTGGAACAGACTCCACGGCACTTAACAACAGCAATGGCAGGGTGGGATCAGCACTAGACTGCGAACCACAAGGCCAGCAATTCAAATCCCCACCAGCTAGCTGCTCCTAGGAAACTCTATCCGGTGTCCCTGTGAGTCAAAATCGACTCAACAGAACTTAATAACAGTGAAGTCGATTCTAGTCATAATGTCCCCGTTGGACAAAGTAGAATTGCCCTAAGGGTTTCCAAGGCTGTAAATCTTTATGGAAGTAGACTGCCATATCTTTCTTCCGGGAAGCAGTGGTGGGTTCACACCATCGACTTTAGTTGGCAGCCCATTGCTTTAAGCATCGTGCCACCACCTCTACATTTGTTCCAAAAATTCAAGGATTACAGGGTCGCTATGGGTCGGAACCGACTCGATGGCACATAACAACAACAACAACAACTGAAGAGGGAGGGGAAGGGGTCAGTGTCAGGCCGCTACCTGGGAGTCGTTCACCGGGTGGGGTGTGAAAACCTGGAAGATCCAGGGCCATAGAGGTGCTGTGCCGCAGCTTCCTCGCCCATAGCAGAAGCTGGGTAGGGTAGGGGGTGGGTGTGGGAATGGGGTGGGGGCGGCGGAAGTAGGTCGCCCACCGGGGCAAATAGGGCGGGGCCGGGCGCACCTGCCCAGCACAGCGGGCTCGCGGCGGCTGCGCGGACGGACGTGTCCCCTCCCCCTCCAGCCGTGTGTTTACGTGGAAACGAAGATGGCGGCGGCGGGGACGGCGCTGCCTGTGCGTTCGAGGACGAGCAGCCAGTGAGCGTGCAGCCTCGTTCGACTCCAGACGGGGGAGCGCCGGGCCCGGCCCTGCTCCTTGGGCCCCGGAGCTTGCCGTTCCACCTCAGTCTGAATTCGTCTTTCCTTTCTGCCTCCAATCTGCTCCCTACCCTTGCCTGCAGAGGCCATGGAGGACGAGGAGAGACAGAAGAAGCTGGAGGCCGGCAAAGCGAAGGTAGGAAAGCCGGACGCCGCCGGGCCGCGGTGGGAGGCGGTGGCAGGGCAGGGGTGGGAGGGTCCTGGGAAGCGGAGATCAGATCGCTGCCACCCCTGCGAGATCACTACCTGGCAGGACAGCGTTGCAGGGTCTTCATTTTCCCCTGGCCACCCGGTGCCCTTTTTCCAATGGAGGAAAAAGCCCCTGCTACCTGACAGCAGTTACACTTCCTTGATGAGTGGATCATGAATGCCCAAATGAAACCCCGCTTTTCCTGCCTGGGTATTAGCTGAGGTTGTCTCTAATGCTACAACTTTATACGCCGTCGGAGTGATTTCTAAGAATGGTGCAGGCTTTGTGGTTTTGTGGGTGGGGATTTGGGACTTTTCTTTATTCGGTGGGGGATTTGTGCGCTGCTTGGCTTGCCTGGGGTGGCAAGCTGGCACTCTTGGGTGTGTGTGATTGGCCTGTGACAGCTGCCACAGCCGTGCTAGAGGTGCCACAAGTGCCAGCTGAGAACTTCGCTAGAGGGGCGTTTTTAGAAGCGTGCTTTGTATGTTTGTGTTCGCAGGTCTTTGTCATGGCATGCGCTTTTGTATTGTGTGGAATGTTAATGCAGTCTGTGAATGGAACTTCGGGGCGGTGGTGATGAAACGTTCCATATTCTAAGCAACACCTCTAGAATTCCTGCTTTAAATACTGTAACTATTTTAGTGGTTTAATGTGTGTGTAACTGTATATGTATATCTATACCGCCTGTGAGTTCCGATTATGTGTGTTTGTTTATGAAAAAGCCTGTAATTAATGCAATACAAAATTATCAACATATCACTCATTGAGCTTCATGAAAAAATTGACATTGACAAAATAGAAGTTAAATAGCATTTTTCTTTTACAAATTACATGTTTGATCATATCTTCTGGCCTCAAAGGCCCTCTTCTTCTTACAATGAAGTTACCTTTTATAGATTATATTTTAACTGTCTTCTAAGGGTAACTGTTAACAATCATAATTGAACCACAATTAAATTATAATTGAGTGTTTTTCTTTCTTCCTCCTCTTTGCCTCCTCCCCCAAATAAACAAACCAACAAACAAAGAAAATTGGGTCAATGATTTTGGTAATCAAAACCCATACTGCAGAAATACATTAGTAGACATCTCAACACAAAATTGTTAATAAATATATAACTTCATGTTACTAAAAATAGTTGGCTGCTTCACAAATTCTCTCTAAGGTCAAGGCTTAAGTGCTTGTATATATCCGGGTAGATTGTTATTTTAGAATCTGTAAATGTCTTGGTAGAGGAATAGGGTAATCCTCAGAAACCTAGAGTTGGTTACTGTTTGTAAGCAACCTCTGAGGGTCTAAGCAAGCTCCATGCAGCTCAGGATGTGGGACACTTTCTTCCTTTCTTCTGTGATGTCTCAGTTTTGACACGGAGGGCATAGGGCACAGGTGAAATTGTTATAAGGTCCTGGACAGACAGGGAGAGGCCAGGCAAGGGTTCTAAGATGCCAGGGAGGTCAGTGGGTAGAATCAGGAAAGTGGGGAAAGAAAAGGGGCTACACGTGGTTGTGGGGTGGCGCAAATAGAGGATGAGTAGGGTCCCTGCCCAGGGCAGGTGGGGAAATGGTGTCCCCAACCACCACCACTCTCAAGCCTTGCAGGCTCTGCTGTGGTGGGGAAGACCAGTTGGGGAAGGGTGGGAACAGACATGGACTGACACTGATGGCAAGCTGTGGTCCCTAGCCCTTGTAGAACACCAGTTTTGTATAATGACCCACCCAGTCTTTGAAACCTTAACCATGTCGATAAGTGAGGGGTTGTTAAGTGTCATCAAGTTAGTTCTGGTGGTTCAAACCTACCATACGCTCCTTGTTGTTGTTATTGTTAAGTGCCGTCGAGTCAATTCCAACCCATAGTGACCCTGTATAGGATTTCCAAGGAGCAGCTAGTGAGCTTGAATCGCCGACTTTGCAGTTTAAACGGCTTTGCCGTCTGGTACATTAACCCACAGCGCCACATCAGAATCCCATAAGCTCCTTAGAAACTAAATGTATGGTTACTGTGAGGTGGAACTGACTTGAGGGCACTTAACAGCAACAGAGTTTGAACTGCTAACGTTATGGTTAGCAGCCCAGTGCTTATCCTAAGCACCACACCAGGACAGTGAGGAGTACATTATTATTTTAGTGAGGAGTACAGTGGCTGTACATTATTATTTCAGTTGTATAGATGTGTGTTTATAGATTAGGACTGAAAGGCTATTAATAATCTAACGTATGTGAATATTTAAACCCTCGGAAACCCTGTACAGGGTCGCTATGGGTCGGACCCGACTCGATGGCACTTAACAACAACAACAACATGTGAATATTAGGGCTGGAGATATAGAGGTGGTGATTCAATTCCTGTGAGGGACTGATAGTAGTAAGTACAATGATAGAGGAGATGCATTAGGGTTTGGGGGGATTCTTTTCATTTGTTAAAATGGGTTCAATGCTACTACCTCATCTTTAAAAATGTTTTTATAAAGAAGACTTTTAATATCCACAGTAATGTAGCCTAGCAGAATGCCTTTCCAGGAGTCTGGTTGCCACAAATGGTTTGCAGTCAGGTGTTAATCTAATAGTTGGCTCTTCAAACCCACCCAGCAGCTTCCCAGAAGAAAGGCTAGACTAACTGCTTCCATAAAGAAAACCCTATAGGAAGTGGGGGAGGAGGTGGCTGTGTGTGTAAGGGGAAGTCTAAGGCAGCTAACAACAACTCACTAAATGTTTGCTTAATGAATGAATGAGCACAATGGCGAAATGACTCATGAGTTGTCATTACTTTTCTGCTTTGCTCAGAAACCCTATGCAGGGTCGCTATGTGTTGGAACTGACTCGACAGCGCTTCATAACAACATGCAGCTTGTTTGTGGTGCAACTTTCCTACCAAGCCTGTAATTTAATAACGGCAATATTCAAGAGTTCTCTTAATCAGAAATCTCTTCCTGTCATTAGAAGCCACTTAAAATCATTATTTTCCAAAACTTATTCAGAAACTTGGTTCTCCAAATAACTTGAGTCCTGGTGTGGCACTGTGGGATAAAGCACTGGACTGTAAGGTTTGTTTGAACCACAAGGTCGGCACTTCAAACTCACCTTAACAACACTTAACAATAACAACAATGTACTTGTTACATGATAGACTAATACAAACCACAAAATTTAGTCTTTCTAAAGTACTGAGTCAGTTCCAACTCATAAGGACCCTGTATAGGGTTTCTGAGAAGGGACTGGTGGGTTTGAACCACTGACCTTGTTAGGAGTCCAGTGCTTATCCTGCAGTGACATACCAGGACTCCTTTTTGTATCTAGACCTTATAAATGACACCTCCCACCCTATTTGTGTACCTTCTTATATATACAGCCCTTGGTGACACAAAAGGTTAACACTCAGCTGCCAATCCAAATGTTGGGGTTTCAAACCAATCCAGTGGTTTCATGGGAGAAAGATCTGGTGATCTGCTTCTTTAATGATTACAGCCAAGAAAATCCAATCTGGAAGTTTTATTCTGTCACATGGGATTGCTGTGTGTTAAAATGAGTTGACGGTACCTAACAACAACACATTAAGGTATATTTAGCTATCAATTCATGTACACAATTCATAGAGAAATACCCACAAATAATGCCAGGTGTTTTTTAAAAAAGTTAAATATATAAAAATATTGTTGTTGTTAGGTACCATGGAGACGGTGCTGATTCATAGTGACCCTGCACAGGGTTTCTGAGGCTGTAAATATTTACGGGAGCAGAAACCCTCATCTTTCTCTCCCGGAGCAACTGGTGGGTTTGAATCACTGACCTTGAAGTTAGCAGCCCAACGCTTAAAACCCACTACACTACCAACTGTACATAATGCAGTTAAAAGGTCGCAGGAGAATCCAGGACATTCCACAGTCAGGGACAGAGAAGTGATGAAAGGTCCCTAGAGACAATGAAGAGAGCCTGAGCCCTGCTATCGCCACCGTGCAGCTGAATGTTGAATGTTTGCACGTGGAAAAGAGGGTGTGAAAAGCAGAGGGTACACCCAGGTGTTCTGAGCATGACAAGATTCGGGGGAAAATGCTTTTAAGCAAAAATATCTCATTTTTATAAAATATTTGTAATGAGAGCTACTTACTGATTATGGAGATGTAAATGAATTTCAATAGAAATATTTAATGATATTTGTCTTCTGTAGAAATTAGCGCAGTTAGCTTCCCTTTTAAAAGTTTGGTAACGTAGTGGTTACAAATCGAGCTGCGAACCTTAAGGTCAGCAGTTCGAAAGTACCAGCTGCTCGCAGGAGAAAGATGAGGGTTTCTGCTCCCGTAAAGAATTACAGCCTCAGAAATCCTGCGCAGAGTCACTGTGGGTTGAAACCGACTCGACGGCACCTAACAACAACATAAAAATTTTATAGAAATGTATTAAAAATAATGATTTTTTGGTGTATTCATAATACTATTTGACCTGGTAGAAAAGGCAGTAGGTTTGAACTTTGGAGACATTTATTCTCTCATTTGTTGAACATTTTTGAACGCCTGTAACTATGCAGTTGTGAACTTTACTTAGCAAACATTTATTTAAATGACCACAACCTGTGCCTCATTGTCTTTGGAGAGAATCCTGTACTAGTACGCAGATCTTACAGGTGCTTTGAAGGATAAATGAAATACTTGAGATCTTTTTGAGTTCTTCTAGTGCTAGATTTGGTAGCGTAGTGGTTATGAATCGGACTGCGAACCTTAAGGTCAGCGGTTCGAAACTACCAGCCGCTCCGCGGGAGAAAGATGAGGCTTTCTACTCCCGTAAAGATTTACACCCTCGGAAACCCTGTACAGGGTCGCTATGGGTCGGACCCGACTCGATGGCACTCAACAACAACAACAGTGCTAGATTTAAGAAATTAGGATATTTTTTTTTTGACTCGAGCAGATTTTGCCCCTTTAATGTAACTTTCAGCAATGTCAGACACGTGTTCTATTTCTGATGTGCGTGTTGTTAACCTTTTCATGGCTTAATAAAATCTTGACCCCAAAGGAGACCTTTATAAAAGATTTTGCCTTTTAATCATAGTATTCTAATACTTAGTGTAGAGTAAAATGTTGTTCCTAAGTTTCTCAAGATGTGAATTATGAAACACTGGCAGGGGTTGCTTGTTAAAAATGCATATTTTGGGGCCCCACTTACACTTCTGAATCAGAAACTTTTAAATAAGCATCCCTAAAGTTTAAGAATTACTACTACTATAGGGAGTAAAAGGACTTTGGAGGAGTTACCGTTGAATACTTTTTGGCAGTTGTTTCTCATTTAACATTGTTAAGTGCTTACAAAAGATCCCCAGTGCCACGGTGATAAAAACACTCTGCTGCTAACTGAAAAGTTTGGTGGTTCTAAGCCACCTGCCACTCCTCGGCAGAAAGATGGGGCAGTTAGCTTCAGAGAAGATTTATCACCTTGGAAACCCTGTGGGCAGTTCCATTTCCACTCTGTCCTGTAGGGTGGTTGTGAGTCAGA